GCGGCCGCTACAAGCTCTTTGGGCAAGAATAGCCGGAGTGACTGCTCACATCGTAATAATGTTTTCCACAATGTACAGGTACAGGGTTGGTTAATGCAGGCATCGGTAGCGTGTGGAGGTTGGCACATGCCACATCGGCTCATACTCCTTCTCGATGTGCGGATTAAGAAAAACTGCTTGTAAAGGGTTCGAATGTGGAGGACCAAGCAGGGTCCACAAGTTTTTCGCTCAGAGAACGGGTCGGCCTGACACTTTATGTCAAATCAAAGAGGAGAAGAGGGGACATGTTAGAATCTGTGTGTGTGGTGTGGGGTGAGCGAGCGGAGGGAAGGAGAGGCGACGAGATGAGAGAGGAGGGAGGTGGGAAGCCTGGAAGAATGACTGAGGGGGGCGTTTGTAGGCGTGAAGTGAAAAGGAACACTCGGACCGCCCCCTTGGGGCTGTGGGAGCGCGAGGTTTTTGGTACAATGATTGCTGAGCAGCAGCAGGCAGCGAGCACAGAGCAGCAGCAGCACAGTTGTTTTTCACCCTAGAAGTAGCCGCGAGTGACCAGCCACAGCGTAAGATGTGGGATAACACACATGCCTGAGTGAGATAGAGCCAGCTTTTGGGCCTACCTACGGTGCATATCTAGGAAGTACAGCTTTTGTACTGTGTAAATTTTTTTTAGCTGTTAAAATCTGTGTGACACTGTTGTTTTTCCATTGAGATCTGTGTGGGTGGTTCCTGATACAGGCTGACACTCGGTGTGAAAATGAGTATGTAAATACAAATGTGTAAATGTAAATGTATGCATTCGGGTTGGCAAATCATTTTAGGCACAACAGTTACACAAATTACAGAAAAGTTGCTGTATTCTGCCTTTAAATCAGCTTAAGGTTGCCTAATAACTGGGTGTTTCCATTTAAATCACTGGAGACTAAAATCAGCTTACAGCAGCTGCAGTCATACTTTTTAACAGGTTTCCAAACACACAGCTGTAACTTACCAGTAGAGGTGTTCCTCCACCATTTTAGTGACAGCCCGGGACACAGCTCTCTCCTGCGGGGTGAGGTTCTTATTAAGGTTGACGCCCAGCTTCTCCTCCAGGAAGTCCACGATGAACTCGGACCCTGAAACCTGCTCGTAGTTGTACTCCATCCAGGGCATCTTACCCTGTGGCGACAGCTTCCCATCAAAGTAGTTCTGCAACAGGAAACAGCGTCGTCTGAGAACATGTTGGATTCCATGCACATTTTCTGCACAAAAATAATTATTGTTGATATATACCAATTTTGTACGCAATGTTTTTCTGTTGCTGACTTTTAAAATAGAGTTTCATACCTAACCCTGATGAATGTATAAAAGAAAGGAGGTGGTAGAAGTGGAGGTGTGGAGTTTGAAAGATGTGATTTATAATGAAATAATACTACATAAGGAAAGATACTACTGAGTTGCATTATGGGATTTATAGTATCCATTTTTCTTGGAGTTTAACCCATATTAAAGACTTAGAGTCAGGATAGCTTGGCCTCAGCTGCACAGGTTTTGACCATTCTTTTTTTAAACTGTGTCTGGCAAGTCACTCTACCTCATTGAAGTGCGATACACAATCACTGGAGAGTCCCTTCAACAGTATAGGAAAGCAAGAGAACACAATTTCGCTACACAAAATGATAATTAGTTTTTTTCCAGTGAACTTCTGGATTATTTAATATTTTCAGGCCAATAAAAAGCATTCCAATAAAACCATGCCAGAAGGAAAAATTACTCTTTGACTGAACTGCAAACATGTCCAACTGGTGAAAAAAGGCCACAAGAAGACATGTCTTCATTTCAAGGGGTAAAAACCAAAAAGTTTGGGAACCACCTGTTACTCAATGCTGTAAAAATGTTTCAATGTAAAGTATGTAAAAAAGAAAGCCAGTGACCTGCAATGAAGTGTTCTATGCATCCTACTTGTGATTAATAATAATATAGTATAATAATAATAATAGTATAAGCATTGAAAGAACTGGGCAGTTAGCATGAGCAGCTATGGCTTTTGAACAGAAATCTGAACAGAAAAAAAAGGCACTGAAGGCTGTTTGCTATCTATGTACAGAGTCCTCTCCTGTAGCTGTGTGTTTAATCCACTCTGAGTTGGTCGGGTTGAGTCTCACCTGGTAGGGCAGGTCCACCATGCGCAGGTATGTCTCTATTTTGAGGCAGAAGGGTGAGAGGCTGGGCACCCCATTCTTTGGCCTGGAGAACTGATGGAGGATGATGGCGTCTTTAGAGTCCAACTCCTGCTCCTTCCTACACAGAGAGCACAGAAGGAGAAAATCTTTAGCAAATAAACAGAGAAGTCCACTTTAGCTTTTGTTCCCAGATCATTTTGCAATTCCTATTGTGTTTTTATTCTTTTTTTTTTTTTTTAAATACACAGATATATTTAAATTCAAACCCCATACTTTTATGGTGCCAGACCTATCCTTTGATTGATGTACTATTCTGACTAACAGAGCCACCTTAAGTAAAAGGACATTAATGTGACAATAATATTTGCTTTTGAGGAATTATTTGATTGACAATAAGCAGAATGTATAAGCAGTTCAAGCTGCAGTAGGCGATTTTTATAAAATAGGTTTTTGTCATATATGCTGAAAACTTTCACTATATCCTCCACATGAGACAGATAATCTGTGAAAAAAAGCTGGCTCCTCATAGAGCTCCTATAATGGCATTTGCAGAATCCACCGGGCCTGAACGAAAACAACCAATCAGAGCTGAGAAAGATGGGTGATTGTTGAGTCTCATCCACAGGGCATTGAATACAGACACTTTGGCACTCTGGGAATGAGACTCAACAATCAACTACCTTCAAGCCTCCAACCCAAAGCGTTTTTCTATCTTTCTTGATTTCCAATTGGTTGTTTTCATCCAGGTTCGTGGAGTCTTGCAAATACCATTGGAAGCACTAGCACGAGCCAAAGGAACCTGATTTCTTCAGATTATCTGTCTCAAGTTCTACTGTCAGAACACAGTGAAAATTTCAGCAATAATAATGACAAAAAGTTATTTTTATAAAAGTAACCTACTGCAGCTTTAACTCCAAAGCGGTGTGTTTGCTATGATGGATTGTCCTCACTCTGTGGATGTTTCATGCTTTACAGAAACAAACAGCAGCAAACGACTGATTCTTCAGGGAGGAATATATGCTTTGAAATCTTTAACCTTGCTGACTACGTGTAGACGGCAGCAGGAACAAGTAAAGAGAGCATTGATACAAACTTAAAAGGCACCAATAGTATCCTTGGAAATGTGAAATTGTCATACAGTCTGGCTGATACTGTGTTACTACCTGATACTGTGTTACTACCTGTTTCTGGGTCAGCCAGAGCTCTGAGATAAACAAAACTGAGTTTTCAGGCTCAAACAAACCTTCCCAGGAGAAAGAGGTCACACCTGTAGTTTATTATAGCGCGGTGACACAGTAGCGGTCCCTGTGTCCCTGAGCTCTGGTTTTTTAAACCCTCTCAACCACCCACCAACATGCACACTTTTTTATTTTCAGCAACTGCGGTGGCTTCACTTCATTAACTTTCAAACAAGTGCTTTGTGCAGACCTACATTTTGTTGTCCTGGTTGAACTCCACTCTGTTCATCTGTAATGCTCAGCGAATGACAGGTGGTATTTGATTTGTCTGTTTGGTCATATGTAATTGATTTCCTGTGTTTAGCTACGTTTATTTATATGTTTATTATATGGTAGATTTTCCTTTGAAATGAGTCGAGCTGAGTTTGTGGGTTATTGTTAAGCTATTGACTAAATGATTCATCTCACTGCTCCAGTTTGAATCCAACACACTGCTGGATGTTTCCCATCCCTCAGTCATATTGTGTGCCTGCTGTCTGAACACAAACAGTTCTAAATCGTACTACTGGTTACTGTTATGTTCTCTGTCTGTGTCCCTGGGCTGCTGTGGATGTGAGGTCCTGTTGTTCCTGTAGCAACTATGTCAATACACACGCACTGAATTATTATCACCGGGCAAAAAATGCACTTGTGAGTGATGCTTGATTCAGATCTAATAGGATATTGATAATGTAGGTTCTTGTTTAACAAAAATAAAAGATTGAATTATTTGAGATGAGATCAGATGAAACACTGAATTTTTTCTTTCCATTTCCTGTTTATTGTATTTACCATTTTTCTGTTAGAATTACAATCAAGAGGGACAAAAAACTAGGCATATACAAAGCAAACAAACTAAAAAGGTAATTAGGCTTCTTTATTAAAGCATGTATTTCCATTACACATAATCATGGCTCGCTGAAACTTTGTATTCCACTGAAGCACTTAAACAGAATTAAGGAGAAATACAGTTTTGACCTATAATGTCACACCTATAGGTCCCTGATTCTTACCATGTGTTATTTTTGCAGCACAGAGGAAGCAATAAACAGAGACTCTACAAACTATCATTAGCGCCATTTAGTCTGGTCTCCTTAGCATGCCTTTGATCACTGGCACTCTAATATTTAGTCTACCCTCGGTGATACAAACAGGTTGGGAATAGATAAGAGACACCTCTCAGTATAACACAGTAGAATTCATTAACCACCCAAACTACAGCCCCCAAAGTGACAACACGGTTAAATCAAGACCTCTCTAAAACACCCCACAGTGTGACTGCTCCTTTAAAGCTTGTGTTACTGTTTTATATTATCTAAAATGTGAGTCCCAAGTCAAGACAGGCAAGTCACAAATCAAGTCCCATGTCCTTAAGTTTGACTTTAAAGTCTCTTCACCAAATGTAATGCCATTTTAACTACAGAGGAATAGGCTGACATGCTTTTATGTTAAAAAATAAACAACATTATTTTTCTGGTAATGCATCTTTTTTTACTTTTTGTATGCAAACAAAACGGTCTTTGGTATCATTCTTTTTCAAACTGGCGCTCAGTAGTGTAATGTTGGTTCTTTGTCCAAGTCGAGTTGCAAGTCTTTTTGGATTTTGTCGAGTCCAAAGTCATCAAATTTGTCACTCGAGTCAACGCCTCTGCTAATTAGGTATCTGACTTTCTCTAATTGCTGTTTGTGGTTCAGAAAAGGTCTAACAGGGAGTTGGACCTTTTGGGTGTCTAGTATTATTAATTAATCAAACTAACTAATTAATAAGGCAATACAAACAGCACCACAAACTGCATCCTTCAGCATACAGCAGAATCAGCACCACTCTAACACAGCTTCAGCAAAACCTGAACATTATAATCTTCATTAGGCAGAATTTATTATAGGACTGTTGTATTAGACTGCATCCGTTTTGGCTAGGTGTATCTACTAAACTGGCAACTGAGTGTATATATCACAGATATCTATGCTATACACCAGTGGACCGACAATAGGGGTCACCCAAACTTCACAGGGGGTCGCAAGGGCTTCTTGATTTTATGAGGTGTAAGAAAACTGCATTTCATTCAGTTCTGTGAAGAAAACTAAATGACATTGTTATTTTTAAAGTTTAGATTTGAATCTAAGATATAAACTTTGAAGACAGCTATATTCACAGAGCATTCACTCTCTGATTAACAGAGTTAAAACAACCAAACAGCTAGTAGAACAATGAGAAGAAAACACTGAATTTGTCAAAAAAAAAACTGTTTCAAATTAAAAGTATTACACATTGCAGACAGAATTGTAGAAGTTGTCCTAGAAATATCAGAAAAACTCATCTGATCGATATTCTCAGGAAACAATCCGCTCAAAAATCATCCAAATCGCTTGTTCATGCAAACTTTTTCCTGCAGTTATTGTGTTCACTGTTTGAGTTCATCGTACAGTGTATGTCCTCTACTGTTATTGTTATGCACTGAACATAATATGAAATATTCAGAGGTCATCAGTTTACTTAAAACAAAAAGGGTCCCCTGAGGGAGAAGCTTGGGAACCCCTGGTGTGTGCAGTATGTACACAGTATGTAAAGCATGCAGCTCCACAGTGTCGCTGTCCACTGTCTCCTGGTGCTGTAAGTCGCTGTCCACAGTCATATGGTGCTGAAACCGCTCCGACTCTCTGTGCAGTCTGCACAAATGACCCCGTTCCAGATCTGCCCACTGCACCACTGTGCCTGGTGTGTCCTAAGCATCCTCTCTGTCAACCGAACTCTCCCCGCAGAGCCACTTAAACAGCTCTCCCAACATAAAGGAGCCGCTCACAGAGGGGACAGGAGAGCAGTGGCTGACTGCTGCCGCCAGTGGCAACAAACACATCACATGGCATGAACAGATGATGCCGGCAGGCTGCGGGGTCCGGCCTCAGTAGCCCGCACGTGATCCGGCAGCAGCGTTTCCGCACGAAATGCAAGGTTACGCAGATTATCATAGAGGGAGGGGGGAGGGGGGGGAAGTGAAAGCAGAAACTACCAGGCCACTGTTACAGGATGTACTTAGTGCCCGGCGCTGGCCCGGCCCAAAATAATCCCCCCCCCATTGACAGACACGCAGTCCCTGAACGGCTCATAGTCTGAGTTAATCACGATTACAGCGCAGGGCCGATCCTCTCCTTCATCCGCCTCCATGGCGAGGTGCAGCGGTAAATATAGGTGCGTTCTGTGGGTGCTAATCTCTGCAGCAGCTGTGTGTGCAACTGCAGAGTTCATTAAAGGTCGACCGAGGGGCGCTTCGTTTAGACACGCTCAGGTGCCGACGGAGCACGGCACGGGAGCTGGCACACGAGCGGACGCGTGACTCATTCTTTATTTATTTCTTTTTTTCTCCTCTCTCCATCTAGTGTCGTGTCCTTGGGAGGAGGAAAACAAGGACCGAAACCTCAGTAACCACCGCGAGATCTGCACACAGATCCCATCCTATGGAAGGACTCCCATATATATCCATTCATGGTTTTTACCACAGCCCAGTCCAATGACACCCATCGGCCGGTGTGGTGAACGGTGACACCCACCCCTCTGAGGGATGAATAAAAAAAGAAAGTGATGATGAGAAACAGACGGGGTCCTACCTGATGGCGAGCAGCTCGTGCAGTAGGTAGGCTGCAGCAGCCAGCAGGGCCCCCCCGGTGATGTACAGGGTCTTCTTCCACCAGGAGTCCGAGCCCAGAGCCGACATGATGCCCCCGTAGTCCTGTAAAGGGAAGGTGATGATATAGCCATACAAAGACTGCTGCTGCTCGGAGCCGCACAGCCCGAGAGGCAGGCTGTGGTTCCGCCCCAGCTCAACCACACACGGCCGGGAAGAGGCGAAGCCAGCAGCCCAGTACATCCTCCCTCCCTCGGTTACAGCCGCCCAGCGTCCTCCCAAAACGCCCGGTGGGTCGTCTACGGCATGGCGGCGGCGTGTGGCGGATGTTTCTCCAGAAAACCAGAAGGAGTAAACATCTCGACTCCCCCTCCTCCTCCCCGGGACGATGCTCAGCAGCACCCAGCTCGCTCCCCTTTGCAGCTTTCACACAGCATCGTCAAGCTGCTCCGAAGCACAGCGGCGGGACTTCCGGCCTCACGTTTTCAAAATAAATGTCACTGTTGGGGCTCTTTTCGCAGGGTTATTTGGATGACTTGGGCAATGTTGTGTAAACAACACCACCAGTAATAATAATGGCATTGCACACTGCTCCGTTGACATTCGCTTTTTAAATCTGTTAAACTAGTGAAACTGAAGCCCAGGCTCCACGTTAACTTCTAAGCTTCTGTGCAACTATTCATCTTCATTAGAGATGAACCTGCTAATTATTTTCCAGATTAGTTGTTTTGTCTGTCAGGCGTCACAGTTTCCAAGATATTCAGTTTAGTGCCTCTTAATAATAAAAGCCGCAGATTATCACGTTTAAGTAGCTGGAAAATGACTCAAATGATTAATCGATTATCAGAATAGTTACTGACCAACTGAGTGACTCATCGTTGGAGCTCTAGTTATCAATAATAATGCTCTAACTTGTTGTCCGTCTTTGCTCACAAATATGCCAGCCACATGATTAAAAAGCTTAACTTATTACATTGTTCCATGTTTCTGCAGGTCTTTCACACATCTTGGTTATATTGTTGGTCTACAAACATAGTTATATTTAAGCATAAAAGCTCATTCTTGATCATGGAAATCTGACAGAAATGGAAGAAAGAGGAGAACTGATCAAAGTTTTAGAAAAAGCAAGTAAGCAGACCTTGAATTGATTCTTATTTCTTGTCTCTTGTCAAATCTCATAATATTATTTTATTGGGTTTTTTAATGTTATATTACATTTACATAGATTATTAATAATAACCAACTGACCAAGGGGAATGGGGCTGTCGATTTGACCAAAAATAATAGTGTAATAGCTTAATACTTTTATTTTCAAGGGGAGCTCGGGTGAACATCCGGTGTTAATGTGCCAAACTGTGGCAACTTGACGCATCTGGCCTATTGTCTGCTCCAGCGGAGGAGCCACCCCGCCCTGACGAGCCCCCTGCGTCCCGCTGCCAACAGTGGCTCGCCGTGATGGACACGTTGCTTATTGGCCAACACCACCACCACCTGACTACCGGCGGAGCTCCTGCATCACATAATAGTCCTATATCCAGTGACACTGTGGATAACGGGGCAGCTGCAGTTTGTACATTTATCAGTTTACCCAAAACTAACCATAGCTCAAAGTTAAACAAGCGTACAGTTGTATTTCTCATTGCAATAGAAGGTATGTGCTCAGTTAAAACGTATGCAGGTCATTGCTGGTTCACAGCAGGTCACAGATCAGCTGTTAGTCCAGACTGAGTTCATAGTGAACACACAGTGAACACGGGTGTGATGTCAGGCAGAGGAAGACTACTCACTCTGGAAAAACTTCGGAAGTGTAGGAAGACGTTCATCTCGACGGTCAAATCCACCGACTGCTTGCGGAGTCTGTTTGTCGAGCATGCCGAGAGGAGGACGGACAACTTCGAGAAAGAGCAGGTTTCCTAAGAGCTCCTCTACAGCTTACATCACCGTCAGAAAGCACCTTGGTGCCGGTGAACGGCGACACTCCGCCCAGGTCGGCCAGATGCTGCTGTGTTTAAGCAGAACAGGATGAACTCAATGTAATCTATGGCACGGTGATGCGCTTTAAAGTCCTCTCTGCAGCCACGGCCACCGCAAGTTAAGTGCGCGCTCCCGTGACGTTGGGAGCGCGCATTGGAGCAGGAGCGTTATTGTGCTGAACGAGTGTGGGAATAATAGTCTACTGCAGCCTGCAGCCACTATGCAGGAGAATGGTAAACATATATATGTGTGTACTTCTCAGGGTTGTCTCTTGTGCAGTACACTGGTTATCATCACCAATCACATGAAGTCAATGACACTGAAGTAACTGAACTGGGTTTGCTGGGGGCCCATAAAGCCTTCTTTTAGCTGCTGAGAGACAAATGCCACTTAGAGCACTCAGTCCGGTTATTCTCTTTAAGAACATCACGCAGGCATGACTGCTTCTCTGCCACAGGCCTGATGTGTATTATATAATACTTCCACATGAGACCCACTATAATCCCAGAGGATGTGACCGCCCAATCCTCGTGTGCGGACACATCATCTTAATGAAAATGCTTCCGAGCGTGCAGCTAAAAACCAACATGAAAATCATATTTATTGTGAGCAGCCGGATAAATCAGACGTTTCACTGTGGTGCTTTCACTCTTCAGAAATGCAGCCGATGAGAGGACAACTTTAATAGAGGATATGGCAGTCTATTCAAGCTAAAATATAAAGCTGATTCAGTACAGTGATTACTGAAAATGATGTGATTAGAGGATGTACAGTTGCTTTGTACAGCTCATCAAACACTCGTTAAACAGTCTGTAACAACACAATGCAACCTTATTCTGAGTGCACTGGCAGAACATCTCTAATTCTGTCTCAAGGCTGTTTGTCCCTTTCCTACAGTGACCTCAGTCTTCCACAGGGAAGTTAGGACTCCGCACGTCTGCATCGCCTTGTCCTCCAGGTGTTTAGCTCAGCTGTGTGAGGCTGCAGTGTGGTCCTCTGGGTGGGCGCTGCTCCCCTCAGCCCGGTCCGGCTGGGGATCGTCACTCACTTTGACAGCGTGGAGGGCGTAGTTGATGGCAGTGCTGTTAGTCCAGCTCCAGGCTCCTGACACTGGGTTGTACAGCATTCCCTGAACAGACTGCACTGAGAAACCATCTGATAGAAGAAGAAGGGGTGAGCAGGGGGGGTTGGAGGCCAAACAAGAGAAAGAATGACAGCAAATCACAAGACAATCTTTTTTTTTTATATATACACCTGTGATAGGATCTTAAACTCTGGGCCCTGCAAGGACATGCCATAGTGACAGTGCAGCTGATTGAAGTGGCTGGTTACTCCACTGAACATCAGCCTCTGTAGTTAAATTAATTTCTATAAAGGAGAACTATTTCAAAGTACATGAATGTACCTATCCACAAGAATAAATAATAAGAGTGTATCCTGTTTAGGTAAGAGGACAGGGAAATATTGCTTTATACAACTCCAGATTTAGAGCTGGGGACAGACCACAATATCAGCCCCTGATGAAACTCAAATTTGATGCACTCAGTGATAAATGTATTCTTTATTTAATCCTAAATTAGCTGGGAATTTAATTTATTGTCTCCTAAGTGTTTGAATTCTTTGTTTTATAACTCCTGCAGTTATTTTGGAACTTGAAATCTCCCCAAAACTACTCACCATCCCATGAACATAAGAAATAAATACAAACATTCCAAAAATATAAATGGCTTTTCTGCTATGTTTAAAGACCTTGTACATAGAGTGAAACATCTTTCAGAGTGAGCCAGTTCCTGTGTTTACTTGTGCTGATTATTAACATTTAATAATTAGCTGTGTATCGTTTCCCATCGTTACCAACGGCAAACCACTTTCATCCTGTGTGCTCTTGTTGTCATATGGAAATTAGGGGGACTTACTGGACTCTAGGAGGCGCTCCAGGTCTACTGGGCTGATGAACTTTTCCCAGTCGTGCGTCCCACTGGGAACAATGCGCAGCAGTTGCTCGGCTGCAACAATACCCAACGCGTATGACAGGTTGGTTTTATTAATAGTAGTGATGAAGAGTGAGCCGCCGGGCTGCGCACGGAGAAAAGAGACAGTTTTAGTTTATTAGGTATTAAAGAAGTCTGGCAGTATTTCTCCAGAAAATGTATTTTACAATGACAACACATCCCTGCAGGTATTATGTACACAAGGTGCTACCTGTGTCATCGGGGTATTTATAGAGGGGATTTAGAGCTTTGAGTGCGCAAGACCGGTGAGTAACGGTGCCAAACCTCAAGTTCAACCTCGGTCAAGATTAACAAATTTAACAGGAGGGGAGGTAGCAGAGTACACACGGGAAGAGAGTGGAAGAGATGAAATCCAAACAATACAAGACCTCATGCTAAAGCGTCCCTGCACAGGTGCCCTAAAGCAAGATACACCTGAAAGGTTCTTTTTTAGTAAAAGAGCAGAAGTGAGAGATTTGGTGAAAGTCCAGTATGGCCTAAACTAAATGCAGAGACATTAAATGAAGATATTCTTTTCCTCTCAACTCCTCTGGCCCACTGATGTGGGAGAGTATCTGCTCTCAGTATTGATGGACAGCTTTCAGTAAAGCTTGTCAAGGTTCAGTGCCACTCATACACAGAAAAACACATGCTAACCCATTCCCAGTGACACACAGCAGATGCAAACACAAAAAACAAAAACAAAATCACCATATGCCCATTAGCATGCGCTCAGATGAACACATGGACACATACTGTATTGATGCAGAAATATCTGACATGAGCTAACAGCTGGAGGGAAACACACACACGCGCACTATCCCGGGACACACCTTCACTACGAGGCTGCAGCAGAAGGCGAATGTTTCCAGGTCGGCCAGATGTTCCACCACCTCGGACGCTACGACGGCATCGAACTTGCCCGCCCCAGGCTCGCCTTCCCCTCCCCCCTCCTCTGCCGAGAGCTCCTCCAGGGTGCAGGCCCGGTAGCAGACGTCACGAAGGTCCGGGTCATAGGAAGAATGCAGCTGGGCTGTGCCGATGCTGTCTTCTACCGGATCTATACCCAACACACTGGCCCCCAGGCGACCCAGGGGCTTGTGAGGGACAAGGAGGAGGGGGGGTGGGATAAAGACAAGTCAGAACTGGATTCACTGTGTGTCAAATGATTTAAAATGCCTTCTAGAGCAACACTTAGTTTGTTATAAACTTTAAATCACCCAAACCCAGCATTCAACTGTCCAATCCTTCCATGTATTCATAATACATTCTCTCACCATCCTAGAGTTTTATGCAGCAGAATTCACTTACAGTTTTTTTAGAACTGGTTGCACACACTTCTCTATATAAAGTTCAGTTTTTCAAAATTCTTCACACTCTTCTCTTCATCAACATGCAGTTCGGCAAAACAGTTACATCACGTCCAAAAAGCACAAATGCAACCAAAACACACGCATTGTACAGTAAATAACCTAAAAAACACCTGGTAGCATTACAATATGGATTACTGTTGTCTTTGAAGGAGCTTATAGTCATTATAATCATTATTTGTTATTTATTTATTTTAGTCTAATTTACAGTCAAGTCAATTTTATTATTTTTTAATGTATTATTATTATTTTAAATTTTATAGCCCAATATCACAAATGTGCCTCAAGGGACTTCACAATGTGAACAGTTCAGGACACCCTCTATCCTTAGATCCTCCATTCAGATAAGGAAGAAAAAAAAAAAACAATAAGACGGAAAACAATGGAACAAACATTAGGAAGAGAAGGCTCTCTTTCCCAGGGCAGACCGACATGCAACAGATATTGTGTGTTCAGAATAGACCAACATAGTAAAATTACAGACGCTCAAGCCCACCTGCCAGTATTACTGCACACACATTGGTACTGCATCGGTTTATAATGCCGATAAAAGGCTCGGTGTCACTGCAAAGTTTATCCAGCAGAGTGCAATGCTGTGGCAAGCAGCACAGAGAGAGAGAAGGAACAGCTCTCAGCAATGTCAACTAGAAGTGGCTGACCATGTATACGTTATTTAATATGATTCGTCAAAAATAAAGTTATTTGTTAAAAAAAAAAAAGCAGCATTCTGAGTACCTTTGCATAAGTCATACTGTGCACAATCCAAGCATAAATCCACATTCGGTGCCATATTGGGTATCTGTGAACATGTTCCCCCTCAAAAAACTATATAATAGTACACTATAAGTATGATATTATACATCATAAATAAGATATTTATATATATATATAGTTAACATATATTATTATCTTCTGTTCTGTTAGATTTTTAAAATAGTATATAAACATGTGCAAAATGGGCTGTAAATACAGAGTGGTGGTAGTTGAGTATGAGTAAAAAAAAATGCAAAACTGAACACATTTTGTGTCAAATGCAATGAGACCACACTGACTGCTGTTGTGACTGTGTGAGAAGTTCTGTGAGAGTGAACTCTCAGTACGTATGTAACCAGTTGTTAAAAAAAGAAATGCATTTTATAGCTGGTGATAAGCATCAAAAGTGGTCGCATGTGAACTACAACGCCCTCTTCTGGACGGCAGCGAAACACACAGGCCCATATGGCGAGCTGCACTTGCTCGCCCAGGGGCCGATCTCCATCCTCCCTCAGCTGATCCCTTCTGATGGGACGGGTTGGGGTGACGAGACACCCAGAGACACAACCGCAGCGGCAATCTTAACACACACTTTCTGATTTTTTATTTGTGTGTCTGAGTACGACAGCCTGTGTGACAGAGGCGAATAAACACAGGACCTGATTTTGTCTTCTCACATCACACAATACAGCTGGTATGTCCTCAGTTCAAATGAAGGCGGAGACCCCGTCCTGGCTGCCCGGCTTTCACCGCTAACAAACAGATAAACAACTGTAAACGACCGACTGTCCGATCCACCAAACTGAGACCAGTCAAATCAAAAGGGAACGGGAATTAGGCTGACGTTTAAATGTTTTTTTGGGCGCTGGTATGTCTGTGAAAGGACTGGCACTAACGCACTGAAAGCAGAACCTTACACTGCAACTGACTGCTGAAGACTCAATGTGATGTGAAAGGCAGCAATTGAAACTATTGGGAATGAACAGAGAATGTGTACGGGGCAAAACATATTTTTGTCTGCATGCTCTGAACTGGGTCTGGATCTTTCTCACACTCACACACACACACACACACACACACACACTTACTTACCTCTGTGAGCAGGCCTCCTCCACAGCCGACATCCAGTATTCTGAGTCCTGCGAGTGGTTTCCCAGGATGACGTGTGTTGTGCACATTCAGCAGATTATCCCTGAACGGGTAAATGAACAGTGGGTCAAATCTCAAATCAAATTCTCCCACGCCCACACCTATCCTGCTCCTACTCTCCAGCTAAACCCTTAATGTTACAGGCTGTCTCATTTGAAATGAAGGAGGAGGAGGAGGGAAGGTGTTTGTATTCTTAAACTGTGTTGCATGAGGTTGGAGACCATGAGAATCTCTACATTTTGCTGTCACAACCACCCTTATCTCAGCTAGCTAACAACCACAAATATCCTCTGGCTATAAATTCCACCCCCTATGTCGCACTGTGTTCCTCCCTTCTACCTTCGCTCACTCACTGCCGGCCTCGGGCGCTCAACGTGCAGAACAGGCCGAGATCTGGGCACGCATCATCCTCATTAAAGCACGGCTGGGGTGCAGGAGCGTTCGTGCAAACAGTGAAGGAAATAAGATTAGGTGTTGGCAGACATCCAGCTAACTAACTAGCTCCCAATCCCCACCACCACCACAACACAGAAAGAGGCAGACAAAGGCGACTTAGCCAGAGTGGAATATGAAGGCACAACACGAGCTGTTATTCATGTAAGAACTATTATGCTCGTGATAAAAGAAATCTGACTGTTATAGTTTAAAAAACAAAGAGATGCATTTCCTTACTTCTCCACATCATTCTTTTTCATTTGAAATCACATTTGGCAAAAAATCTAAATTCTGATGTTATTATAGTTTTTATGATAGCTGCAAGTTTTCACAGCATAGTTTGAATGTGCAAAACTATATCAGCCAAACTGACTTATCTTTAGACAGTGAGGACCACAGAATCTATGCAACATGTGTTGCATGCATTTTCCCCATATACTGCCAATACTGAGGGTGGAAACACAGCAGCATTAATCACTAAGTTCTTCACCACCACTGCCCAATGTAGTAGTTGTGAAAAGGAAAAAAGGTGCATGTATTTCTTATAATTACTGTCAAAATGTTGCACTGTATTCAGTGTCTGTTGCTGTAGAGTAAGTAGTGGTTTAATATTATATACCTTCTAGTATTAAAGTAAAAAATTAGCCTTTTATGAATGTAGGATTTAGTGTCCAAAGTCCAACTCTAGAATGTATTTATCTATATTTACAGTAATGCAGCATGTTCAATACATAAAAATTAAAAAAAGTTTTCAAACATCAGAATTGACTGTATGATAGTAAGACTGTCAGAGTCTAAAAGGTACAGCAGCAACAGTAGCCGTGGTGCTGCTGCGTCTCATTTAGACACCCCCCGAGGGCAGACCCACATCAGGCACATCAGCCACACTCAGACATACACTGGCACTGGATCTGTCATACTGTCACCATAAACACACATCATCGTCACCCCCACCAACAGGACCACAGCGGGGGAAGGGGAGAGCAGCAACGGGCTCTTTGGCTGGATGGGTAATGTAATGATTATCTCGTGGGGCCCCTACAGCAGATCTTATCAATCAAAACAGCCGCAGCCCCCCCCCCCCCNNCCCCCCCAAAACATGCACACGCAGCGTCGGGGCAGTTTGAACACTACTGGCTGAAAATGTGCTGATATGTGGAGGAATCCTGTCACTTTCATTGTATGTAACTTCAGTGTGTTTCTCTGCACTCAAACACCACAAGGCTGGATCTCCTCCAGGTTATGTTTTGACACAGTTGCTTGACGCCTCTGCCAATCACTCCCCCACATTGACACCGACTTGTGCGTGACATCTTTGCATTTCATAAATATAATAAATGTCGAAATGCATATTTTGCACACAAACCGTATAAAAGGCACCCTCAGGTCATTCATGGCGTGAAGAGCCGCAAATTCTCCCTGTTCGTCCCACCACTTGCCGGCCAGTGACTGGAACCTCCTCACCTCATCGGGATCCACTGTGGTAGAGGCTGACCGAGCACTGCACGTGGCAAAACAGACAGGACCACATCAGTACTGTACGTTGCTAAACACTGCATTCAATACAGATAAACTAAAGCCAGTACGACTAGAGCTGCAACAACTCCAATAATC